ATAGTTATTTACTCAGAAATATGAATTATTTGTAAAGTTGTCCGTTTTAAATAAAAATTGGGTTTTCGGGTAGATCTCGTAAAATGGTGACCAACAGTATATAGTTTGTTAAATTTGGACTGACGTGTAAAGCGTGGCGAGTAAAATAGACATCACAGTTCAATAAATAAATATAAAGATTTTAATAATAAAATAATAATTAACCTAATCCTACCCACACCCGTAAACCCCTTTCCCCTATATATATATATATATATATATATATATATATATATATATATATATATATATATATATATATATATATATATATATATATATATATATATATATATATACATATATATATATACATATATATATATATATATATACTATATATATATACATATATATATATATACACACACACATATATATATACATATACATATATATATATATATATACATACATACATACATATATATATATATATATATATATATATATATGCGCCCTAACCTACACACACGGAAAAAGAAAAGAAAAGAACGAGAAGGGAGCCGGACGCAAGAAGGAGACCGCCACTGTGATTTGGCGCTGCTACTTCGCCGCCTGTTCGTCGGAGATTATTTGCCCACTTGCAGTTTTGTTTAATTCGTCTAAGTAATCGAGGTCAGGACATTGCACATCTAACGCTAGATTATGTATATAGATTTGAAATTCACGTTCGTAGTTTCGTATGATTGATTGCGTGGTTTATTTGTTTATAATTGAATTATGATTTATCCATATTATATGTTATTGTTGGAATTGGTTGAACGAGGAAGGCCAGGTACGTTTTCTAACCGTGAAATTATGTGGCTTGCATGATAAAAACGTTTAGAAACATTATCTGAATGAAATGGGTTGAATAGAATTGAATTACGCTGTTTCTGTAGCTTTCCGACATCAGACGGTAGCTAGGTACCGCCTCACGGTATCCTGCTACCACCATAGACCCCTCCGTTAATATGGCTCTGTCGGTACCTGCGCTCGCACGGTAGGGGGGTACCGGCCAGACGGTACCAAGGTGCCGGACCGACGGTACCAAGGTACCGTGTCAGACCCAGATACCACCCCAACCCAGTCCTCCTCTGTCGGTAACTGTAGTTAGACAGTCGGGGGTACCGGACCGTCGGTATCTAGGTACCGCCCGGCGGTACCAGGGTACTGTGAAGGGTACCGTGTCCACCCCCAG